AGTCTTGCATTTGCTGGGTCGAAGTACGAGGGTCGTTGCAGGCCTAGCAGCGAATGCCGACCACCACGGGCGACTGTAGGGGCAGCTCGACAGACCCCTTCAGAAATGTTGAAGATCTGGCCCGACGGGCAGGAAGAGCACGAGGAACGGGTTCACGTTCCAGTAGTTCGGCAGGTAGAAGTAAATAAACGACGTTCCCATTCCAGAAAGGGGCATTCCTGGGGGCAACTCGAGCACCAACTTGCTCCTCAGGGTGTAGTCCTTGCGGGTGGGCACATGGTGTCGACTGGCAACGGTGCGACGTCGCGTTGTACCCCGTGCCGGCGGGGCAGGCGGAGCACTGCGGGGAGAGGTCGAAACAAGGCAGTGGGGGCGGAACACTGGAGCAGTGGTGGGTCGGCCTCAGCGACGAAAGGGTGCGATGGGCAGTTGGTGACGTTGTGTTTGGTAAGTTTTTTTGTCGAACATGTTGAGGTTGAACTCGTTCTCGTCATGTTGCCGTAGACCCAGTTGGGGACTGCAGTTGGAGAGTTGACGTGGCCGTGAGGTTGCCCAGCCCCGTGGCATTCAGGTCGGCGGCTGGGCAGCAGCTCAGGAAATGGCGAGCGTTGGCCTGCTGCTCTATTCTCCCTCAGGTAGTTTCGGTCCAGTTCTTCTCGAGCCTCAACTCCGCTGATGGTCTGTTCTCGGGGGAGCTTGGCCTACAGGTCGTCGATTTCGTTTCCAGTGCGTTCAAGTCAGCCCGACTTGCTCGATGGAGAGGTGGAGTGTCGGCCAGCTACCTGCGCGAGATGTTCTTGCCGTCGACGGTCTTGAGCTCCAGGGGCCAGAGTTGGTTGAGCTGCATGTCTTCCAGGATGTCGACCTCGTCCGCCAAAGCCGTCCGACAGGGCACCATTGCGAGTCGGGAAAGCACCCCAGCTGCGCCAGGTCAGAGTGAAGGTACTTGATGGAGTTCTGCGCGTTCGACAGCGAAACTATAGCTGTTTTCCTTCGCTGCAGGGCCTAGTATACTGAATATTTGCTCCTCCAGGTGCTCTGGCCCGTGCAGGAGCGGCCCGCCGCACCCAGCAAAAAGCAGACGCACCAGCAAACCGTTGCTGTTCGCCATGGAGACTGCGATTAATAAAATAAATAAAATGGAATAAAAATTGTTTGAAAAATGAGAAAATTATTGACCCTGTGGCATTATCGTTAGCAGATGACCTAATTAAAAACCCATATCGGTCCCCAGGGACCGAAGGCCCTCTCCTACCTGGGCCCGCAGACAGTAGTGCTCGAGGTCGGGCCTCCCCCGCTGGAGGCCGCTGCGATGGGCTGGCCCCCTACTGCGGTCTCAGGTACCTGCTGGGGGAACTCTATGTAAGAATCACCGAAGCTGTGGGGAGGTGAGGAGTCCCACAGCCGCTTCGGGTCGAGTTGGGCCCGACAATCAAAGATCATTTCATCAGGGCTTAGTCAGCACGGCAAGACTTTGGAGTGGTGGCCAGGGTGGAACCTGCCGACGAGTTGGTCCCAAGAGGGGCTTCCTGTAGACCAAATGGAACTACCAGTTCAAAACAATTGTCCCTCAAGGCTCATTCAAGAACGTCGGCCCTCAGTTCTCGACCTGATCCGTTCGGCAGCCCCTTCTCGCCCGCACCCTGGGTCGCTGCAATCGCCAGTTCATCCTCTCCCCCGGCACGCTCTTCGGCCCCACTGATCCCCATAACGACACCACCTCTAAAGCTGTTTTCAAAATCAAAGGAGTGCAGCCGAGAACTGTGTACGGCGGCCCTGGCAAGCCAGACGGCAGTACAGACCCCAACGCGTACAGCAGTTACGACAGTTCGAGCTGGGAGCCGTGGTGTGTCCGGCTCGGCCAGCCCATCGCCAACCCCCCCGCACCCTCGACACACCCTGGCGCGCCCGCCCGTACCTTACCCGGAAATCGATCTACTTCAAAATGAAGGCCAAGTACCTGCACGAGCATCGCTGAGCGAGTCGCTGACCCTCATCCGGCCATGCTGGGGGAGGGTGTGTGGTCGGCAAGAAGAACGTGCCCCTCCAGGAATCATATCCCGCAACAAGTCCGCACTGGTTCGGGGAGCGTCCAAGGGGCGCGCTGCGCTTCGAAACCGCCCTCAAGCACGAGAGCTTCGGAGCGATGAAGACGGCCTACCCTTGCGTGTACCTGAGCAAGCGCCTAAGCCGCACCCTGTAGAATCTGCAAAATTGTAGGTGTAGTTGGACTGGGCTGCTGATGTTGAATACTACTATTATAAATGTGCCGATCCTGAGGGTGGCGGGGGTGAAGGGCCAGCCCAAGTTCTGCATCAAATATGAGTTTTGATCCCATGCCATCTATTTTGAAACCACAGGTAGCCAACAATGGCGCCCACTATAAACACCCGGTATTTCTCATGTGAAATCGGGCTTGACTCGGGGGCACTCGCTTCATAGTCATGCGGGACCGCGGGCCATCAAAGAGCCGCGGAATTCAGAGGCAGAACTATATATATTATGGCAAAGTTGAAATCACTCCCTATTAAAATCAAAGTCTTACTCGAACGAGCCAGTTTGTTCCGATTGTTGATTTTGATCTGGGGTCACTCGCCCCAGGGCGCCGGCTCTGAAGAGTCCGATGAGTCTTCTTGCCTCCCCACCTGCACCAGCGCCCTTTCTGCTGGGGGGTTGTTGTGCTGGCGGGGGTGTCTCTATCTCATTATAGCGGTCTCTGTTGTAGTTGTCCTGGGCCTGCTCCTTTCTGGGTGTCCGTGTAGTAGGTTCCCTTCAGCTCAAGACCCACTCAATGTCGACCTGATGCCCATTGTAGAGTCTTTTTTTTATAGCAGGTTCCAATTGTTCGTGGTGGCCTCCTGGTAGGACTTTCTTACCCACTCGGGTAGGGTCGAAAGAACGAACTGGGGTGAAGGGAAAGCTTCCCCCGAGTGGAGGCGCGAGGTAATCTGGCTGGAGGGCTGAAAGCTGAGGACAGGTTGGGGAAAACAAAACCACTCAAAATGCAGCGGAGAATGGCTTAGTGCTGTCGCCGAAGATTGAGCTCAAAGCGAGAGCCGATGGTCAGAGTCCCACTCGCCCATACTTTTGCAGCATGGCCCCTTCTCAGACGGAGACTTCTTCGGAACTGCTGATCTGGCCGAGAAAGCTGATCATGAAATTTTGAGTGCCCCGCCCACTCGATGCTGTGATGGCGGACTTGACCTGCCCCGCAGAGTCGCTTCCGCTTGAGACTTGCTCCTGGTGTAATCAAAGACGTTGATAAAAGCGTGAGAAAGTCCCCCTCCTTTCGCGCCCACTTCTCTTCCCCTTCAGCATGGCAGGCTGCGGTTGGTCCATAGCTCCCTCTCCACCTGCAGCCCTCGACCCAGCATCAGGATTGCCCTCGAACACCCAAATTTTGGCTAGAACGAGTTCAAAACCATGGCTGATGACTTATATCCAAATGATGACAGGCTTTAAGCTTTGATGCCCTTGTCTGTTAAGCGGACCGACTCTCCTCAATAAACTCATAGGGCTACAGCATAGCAAAAGCTCTGGCCAGGCTTTTCGTTTTTTTTAGGGAGGCCGTCCCAAACTAAAAGCCCAGGATGTCGGTGGACCCCACAACCCCCAGCAAGCTGAGCACGTCGAGGAGAGGTCAATCCTCATAATTTCCGTACGGACTCTGTGAGCCATGGCCTCATAGGCCTCCTCAGTATAGATCGGTAGCACTCTCCATCGCTGACCAGGCCGGGCCCTGACTGCCCTCTGGATGGCCGAACTCTTGACGCAAGGGGCCACCACGAGTTCCTCCAACGACTTCTCGTAGTTGAATACTTTGGTTTTCACGTAGCGAGTCGATCCACAACACTGAACTTGGGCGGATGGGTTTATGGAAGACTCGGCCACGTTGGTCGACAGAATTAGATTGGGGGGACAGGGAGCTAGTCGAATACTTAGGATTTGCTTGGAGAGTCGGTACCGCGTGCAGCTTGATGTACTTGCAAATTCTCCCCTTTCATCCGACTGCTGAAGTAGAAGGAGTCGAGCATGCTAGCCATGGCATCGATATCTTCAACCGAGGTCAGGAAACGGAGATGCTCCCTTGGCCCCAACTTCACTTCATGTAGATGATCGTCTGGAAAGTCTTCACAAAATAGTTCTTGTCGGGAACCGCAAGTACTAGAGCCACCTCATGACAAGCTTTCACGGAATTTAGACCATTTGCACCTTCAGGATGCCTCAGGCGGACCGGTAGTGCCGATCTCTACAAATGAAACCTTTAAGCGTCTCCAGTGAACCTGTGGCCGACGTCACGTAACTGTAGGCCATGTTCTGGTGTCCCCCCACGGACAGCCATAGGAGCTTCCTCTGAGCATGGCGAGGAGGATGTCAAGTTGCAGTTTTAACTCGTGCACATCGTCAGCATGAGGACCGAGTAGGCCCCCAAGTCCGGCGGAAAGCATTCCTCGAGCAGATGCAGTCCGGCACTGAAAAGAAACCTGGTGTTGTCGCCTGAGTTGGCCTAATGAACCTGACTTTTGTAGCGATTTCGTTGTTGAAGCACTGCCGCTCCTCCGAGTGTACTTGCACAGGGACACGGCTGCGATTTGCTGGGGAACCGCCACAGGATCGATTTGCCACCCCCGTGTAGCCGGCCTGATCAGGTACTGGGGAAGCTGGGTGGGCTTGCCGGAGCGGTCGACGCTGAAACAGCCGGACATCGCTGTGGTCCAACCAGTACAGCAGTTGCCGCTCTAGTTAGTGCAAAGTACTCTAGTGCGAATCGGAAGATATTTGCCATTGGCTATTATACCAAGCTGAGCTTTATTTTAATAGAATCTGATAACACATGAGTGACAACCAATCTGATGAAGACGATTTCGGACGATGGCACAGGAAGAGGCATTGCCCAATAAACGTCAAGCTGTAAACCAAGTCTATAGTCAGCCTTAGCCAAGCCTGTAACCAAGTCTATAGCCAACACTATAAGCCCAGTCTATAGCCAAACCTATAGCCAAACCTAAACCAGCCATAGCCAGGCCTAGCTTTAACTGTAGCCAACCCATAGCCAAGCCTATAGTCAAGCCTATAGCCAACCTATAACCAGGGCTGAACGACATATAGACAGGGG